GCAAAATCGCAGCCACATTGTGGCTGAGGTGACAGGTTTTACTAGTAAAGAGGTCCATGGTCTTGCCTACGTAGCGATGATTATTGAAAACACAGTGTCCGTTCTATAAAAACAGTTCTGCCAGAGCCACAGGGAACATGTCAGTTATCACACAATTGACTATTCTCTTTTCTATAAAAACAGTTCTTCTGCCAGACCCACAGGGAACTTGTCAGTTATCACACAATTGACTATTCTCTAGAGTCACACAAGAATCATCAGGCTTCTAATGAGGAAATCCTGGAATGTGTGCTGGCTTAGCAGATACTATGCAACACTTTTTCACTGCTGGCCTATTTCATCCTTATCCCTCTCCGGTGGAGGTTCCTAAGGAGGGGTAAGTGTCACATCTCACCTATTGATTGCAACTTACTGCCCCCTCTGTATTGACCTTGGGCCCACCCATAAGACTACCTTTCTACTGAAAGAAAGACCCAATCAGAATTGCAGAACCCGACTTAATAATTGTAAATTAGTGCTTCCTACAGGTTTGGTCACTGTGACAGAATGCTTGATGTAAGCGAACTACGCACACCTAGTCAGCCAGATACAGGAGTAAGTTGTTCCTTAACTTGCTGAGTGCCAGAATAGAAGTACCTTCCAGCAGCCCCCATATGTGGCTGATAGTATCTTCACTGCTCTAAAATTTAGTCTTGGGGAGGGAGCAAATTCCTACAATACTTTAAAGGCCAACAATATTGTTAAAGCATGTGTTTTAAATAAAGTACAAACATCATTTGTTAAAATAATTTGTTGCATATTCTTGTAGCTTCAAAAAAGTACTTGCCAGCTTAATCCCAGTGTTATTGTTGTTTCTGTTGTACCACATTACTGCTGGATTACTTTTTAACCAATTTTGAAATAACCTGCAATTCGCTGAAAACATACCGCAGTGGTAGTGGCGGCAGCAATGGTGGAACTCTGCTTGACCATGTCATATTCCTCAAAAACTACAACCTAGAAGTGACTTGATGACACATAGCAAATTACTCTTTTGAGGGAGATAAAGTAACATGTTACAGGTAACATCAATTGCTTGTAACATAATGGCCAATCTTTTTTGCTTAGCATAGTAAATCCCACTAAATCCCACTCCTCCCCTTCCGAGGAGTGCTGTCCTCTGAAGATGCCGTCCACAGAGACTGGCAGAACATTAGGAAGAACAACCTTCAGAACACGGCCAAAGAGCCCGAAAAACCCACAACAACCAAATCCCACTAAAGTCGATGGAATCAATGGGAATTTTGTGAATCTCCCCTTTGTAAATTCCATGGATTTAAATGGGTCTAACTGCAATCTACTATGCAAAAGTAAGTCACAGTCAGAGTAGACCCACTTGAATCAACAGAGCATAGGGAAAAGCTGGCTCACCAAACTTCTGCTAATTCAATAGGCCTATTCTAGTGCAATGTACTATACTAAGCAACATAGTTTTTGCTATTATTTCCATATCCATCCGTCCGTCCATCCGGCCATCCATCCATCCATCCATCCACCCACCCACCCGCCTGTCTACCTAGCTACCTACCTAGCTACCTACCTAGCTACCTACCTATGAAACACCATGAAGTTGTACCTGTAATATTATTGCCAGTTGTGTACTCACTCAGCGCCTGTCTACCTAGCTACCTAGCTACCTACCTACCTGTGAAACACCATGAAGTTCTACCTGTAATATTATTGCCAGTTGTGTACTCACTCAGCAACAGCTGACATCAGGATACGTAATACTGCCAGGAGGATATTGCATCTGACTTGGTCAATGCAAATGGTTAGGAGGTTTCAAACAGGAGAGTGTGGGGAAAGTCATACAGACAGATTGAGGTAGAAATGAATGATGACAATGAGGACAATGATTTTCCAGTACCTAATCCAGTGGTGGGATTCAACAGGTTCGCACCAGTTCTACAGAACCGGTAGCTAACGTATTATTGGTTCTGCAGAACCGTTTGTTGGCCTGCTGAATCCCACCACTGACCTAATCCTAATACGCTTTATTAATTCTGCTAAAACGTTTGATATTTTTTTTAAAGAAGACCCTGAATTTAAATCAACAACTTATAACATTGTGTGTTCATCACACTCCGAAAGGAGGATGCAGAACTAGAGGCTTTGGCAAACAACACCACAAGAATTTGTGAGAAATCTAAGTTATCTATAACATTCCAGCACCACCCTAATCTGGCTATTCATCTGTATAAAAAGGATGTTTCTATTGATTCTACAGAGGACTGGAACCGGGAGGAAGGAAGGGTGTTCACATTTTTATTTAAAATCTCTTTCCTTCCTGGAAACAAAGTATAATTAAACATCTGCATGAGACCAACATTTTATTTAAAAGAATCACAATAATCAGATATATCCAGTCTTTCTGATCTGGTTTGTCCTTAGAGAACTTAATGAAAAGGATGTTCTCATATATCCCGTTGTGTAATTTAACATATAAAATTATTCTCAAAAATATGATCCCAATGGGCTTCACTGGGGGAAGCCAATTACTCTGCAATGTCTTAGCACGTGACACGTTTGCTATGATAATAAAAATACAAACAACATGGTCAAACAGTGAGTTTCTGTCTCAGATCTGGTTGTTTCAATTAGTTTTGGGATTCCGTGATGCCTTCCCTCCCTTGCATCCTCTACGACAAGAATAAGCAACAAGCCTTTTTCTTTTTTCCAGCAAAATGCACACGTAAGCTCTGCATTGACTAAGCAGACTGTGAAGGTGAAGAAGATTTAGCAGTATTTCCCCAGGGAGCAGTCTTTGGAACTAATGCATGCTTCATACCATCTACATCTGGTTTGTCAATTATGTTCAAAGTACATTGTGCTTTCAAATGCTCCGACAGCAGAACTGAGCCAAACTTGGAGGACAAAGTACTAGCTGCCATTCCAGAAATGTTTAACCTGCATCTACCGGGCCTTCCAAGATCATCAGACCATTGCTACTGCTGTTGTTTTCTTTTTCAGAGGTTTCCTAGAAATACGGCCGCTAAGCTGTAGCATGGCCCCTTCTGGCATGAAGTTTCATTGTCAGGTAATTAGCAGCACAACAAGTCCCTGCATGTTGAACTACAATTAGCATGACAGACAAAATGCTGGAAAGGTAGTCAGGTAGCCCTTATGCATAATACATCGGGGAATCAGTTCTGGAAAGTGTTAAGGCTAAGTAGCAGCCAAGTGAGCAGAGAGTACACTTCCTAAATTGTTATTCTCAAAGGTTTCATTTATGAGATTACCAAACTGGAATACTTTTTCTTCAGATAACGCTTTTATTTTTGCAGTAATTCTTTTCACATACCCATTACTTCCTAGTCTTTCTAGAATTCCACCTTCTCAGGTACTTGCCAAAGCACAGGAATGTATCTCTTTACAAGCTGCCTTTATGTTGTATTACTGACCTGTATAGAATTCCTTCATTTTACAAAGGATTATAAATGCTAAGGCCTCACAAATGAACCACAAGTATTCCACAGGACTACATCAGTGTGAGCAAGTTATTCCAGTTCAGTATTTTTATTCATTATCTAGGTTAAGCTAGACTTGACTATTTCATTACAAACAGTCAGTTATATTTCACTCTTACATGATTATTGCTATAAGAATATACCCCGGCAAAGGCAAGGAAGACGAAGCTTCTGAACTGTTGCGCAGTGCTGTGCAAGGGTCATGCCCTAAAGATTCAATTTTGGTTATCCCGTCAAGCTTAGACTGCAATTTTCATCTAGATGGATCATCTATATTTCACTCTTGCATGATTATTGCTATAAGAATATACCCCTGGCAAAGGCAAGAAAGACGAAGCTTCTGAACTGTTGCGCAGTGCTGTGCAAGGGTCATGCCCTAAAGATTCAATTTTGGTTATCCCGTCAAGCTTAGACTGCAATTTTCATCGAGATGGAAAATGTCTGCTAGCATGCTCAGATGCATAAAATAAACATGTAAAGAAGGGACATATCATCATCACCAGTACTATTAAGTTGTGCTTAATGGTCATGGGCAAGGAAATCAAACAAAGCACTCCTCCCGCAAAATAACTATTTCTGAACATTTGAGTGATAAGCCAAGGAAACAGAAAACTATTCATTTATAAAGTAAATGTAAGCGATAAACACATGTGTTTAATCTCCTGAAAGAATAACAAAAATCATTTATCATAAACTTTTTGTGAGTTGCAACCCACATAATCAGATAGCAGTGATTTTTGGACATTAAAGGCTCCCCACCATCCTGAGACTCCCAAAGGCTTCTCCATGATGCAAGGGATCCCTTAGGGAGCCTCAGACCCTGAGGGGGAGAAATAGGAGACTTCTAATGAAAGATAACAGGACACAGCTGATGATGCCATCAGGCTGACCCACGTGGACCTGCAACAACAGGACTGCAGCCAATATTTCTACATTTCTATATCACTACAAACCACATACCTTGAACTCAAATTTTATATATTAAGCGGTTGAAATTCTAAATTACAGAATTAAATAACAGTCACATCTTTGGGTCTATGTGGTGCTAACGGCAAGAAAAGGGAGAAGGCTTTAACACAGATAATCTGTTTTAGTAACTCTTTGTCTTCAAACCCATCGGTCCATTTGCAACAGTATGGTGAAATGTTAACTACTACAGATGACATCATTGTGCAAGATGATACTGCGGATGACAATACTCGTCGTCAATCTCCTTTTGCAACACAAGGTCTAGTGGCCTGAAGCACAGCATGCTAGCATTCACTGTTACTAGCATTGCTGGGTGTAAAATGTGAGAATCAGATGCTGATACCTATTTCTGTGCGCATCATTTCATGTTATACTTTAAATTCAAACCAGGAAATAAAATGTTCAATAAACACAAAGAACAGATAAAGAGAATCATAACAAGGTACACACACTGCAGAACATGGCATGGATTTCTGAGAAAATGCTTTTCATTATAAAGTATCAATTCAACCGTATTCAACCTACCTCTACTGGGAATCTCCTCCCATTGATGCTGTGCTCTGATCCGGATGACCCACTGCTCTGACCCCAGTGAAACTCGACTTTCTCCGCTTTGAATCTGCCTGGTAGCGCAGCACCACTGATGAAATAATCATCCTTTAAGAGGATAGCAACTGGAAAAGGGGAAAAAAGAAAAGAAAGAAAGAAGTTGCAGGATAAATAAAAGGAGACTGGAAAAATTGAAATGTTTTTATAAACAATTATCGAATGGATGGTATTTCCATTTATCTTTGTTCGAAGAACTGCTTCAACGGAAAGACAGCACAGACATAGACTTGGTATTCCAAATTCCAAACCTGGAAATAACTATTCATAAACTACAATCTACCTGTAATTAGGAGTAGGAGCCCCTTATCCACGGGATCAGTATTCACTGATTCACTTATCCACAATCTGAATATATTAAAAATAGTAAAAGATAACAAAAAACCAGAAAAAACTATTTGCACATGTATTATCAGAACCGGCCACTACAGGGAGCCAGAGATAGTGCTATGAATACTTGTTAGTGAAGAATATCTAGCATGGTCTCTGTCATCCTTTAGTGGCCAGTTCTAATAATGCATGTGAAAATACTTCTTCTGTTTTTTTTTCTAGTTACCATGCTTATATAGAAAGAGTATTTGTTATTATCCATGGTTTTCAGTATCCACAGGGCACCTTGGAACCAATTCCCAGAGGATATGGGGATCCTAATGTAATTCCTTTCCTAGTAACTAAGATATAACTAAATTAAACTACTATTGCAACTGAAAAAGGGACAACGTCCTCTTCCCGTGTAACTGCAACTTCTAAACCTAATTTTATAGCTACAGGAATATGGCCTTAGAAAATAATGGAATGTTTCTGTACTGGGCTTCATGTTACTGAATAAAAAACACGGAGACCTTTTGAACAAGTTGCTAAAATATGGAATGACAATTCCAGCAGGGCCACTCCCAATGGAAGGGGGGAGCAAGAGAGGAGGGTCGTAGCCCAAGAAGATAAATGCACATTTAAATATGTTCATCGTTAAGTGTATTAGTTATGTAAATGAGGTTAAGTAAAAAATAACTTTTTTTTAATAGGGGCAATGTCACCCCATGCTCCCTGGAAGGCACAAGTGAACTTTCTGAGCAATGTTTTACATTTTGGAAGGGTTCCTGGGGGGGGAGGGGCTGAGAAACCCCCAGAGTGCTGGATGACTGCATAAACACCCCTGGAGCACACATGTACCCACCAGGTCACACCTGCTGCCCAGCATCATACAAAAGTAACTACTTATGTTATTTTTCAGAAACAGAGTGATACCATTCTCCCCCCCCCCTTTTTTTTTTTAAAGGGAAATTCCACAGCATCTAATAGTAGTGGGTCACTGGGACTATAATTCTGAGTAAGTACTTTTTAAAAGTAAATTTCCAAACTCGGTCGAAAGGAGGCCATAACCGAATATTGGAAAGAAAAGGGAGTGCTTCCTTGTCTCTCCCAAAGGCCTTTTAACCTGTTTAAGAGCTTCCGAAGTTGTGTCTTTCCTTTTATTGGCTGTGCCACAACGGCAGTTCTTTGGTATCTTGAGACCGCCTGCGACATCGTTCCCCTTCTCTCATTCAAAACAATGAGTCCCAGAAGATATAAAATAGAATTTGTCTTCAAGGTGCATAATCTCATGCTCTTCGCTCTTCCACTGAATGCCTTTTCTGTTTCTCCAGTGTATCAGATAATTCTATTCCCACCCACATAATTGTCAGATTCTCATTTCTGCTGATAAAAAACCTCCCAGCTCGATGCTATTGGCACATTTCATCTACATGTTAATACCTATTGGCAATGTTCCAAAGGGAAGGTATGAAATATAATGGACTGATCCTGAATAATTTCTCTCTCTCCCCCCCCCTCTCTCTTGTATGTTGGCCTTTAATCACAGCTACTCCCTGCCCTCAGCAGTACTTTTTCTGTAAACAGGTATTGCTCATCAGGGTAGCCATATTTTCCAGATTATGTTACCATTAGTACTATACCAAGTGGTTTAACAAAATCAAAATTGTCCCCAAAGAATGTCTACCTGGGATCAATTTAATGCTGCATTAAAATAATTGTTAATAGCTTTGCCCCTTAACATTTCATCATGATTCTGCTGAATGGAATCAGCCATGTAAAAAGCATAGCAGGCTCTGGGTCATTCCAAGGTCTGCAGATTTTATAAACATATATATTTCATATAAAAACTAACAGAGCAATACCGAAGCCGTCAATAGTCCTGGAACGCTGACAGTGATGGGTACGGGTGTGGTGGAATACGGAAATTAAAAAAAAAAGCCAGCAAGCAAATAAGTACCTGTACTGAGGTGGGATAAAAATTGAATAGAATATCCCATGAGAAGGCCTGGCTGGCTAGCTGGCTGGAAGGAATCCCCAACAGGAATCTTCCACAAATTACAGCATGCCCCATTTCTTATTTCAGAATACACTTAAGGGCTAAGATGCCACTGAGGTTTTGTGTATTAAAGCAGTGATCCCCAACCTTGGGCCTCCAGATGTTCTTGGGCTACAACTCCCAGAAGCCTTTACCACCACCTCTGCCAGCCAGGATTTCTGGGAGTTGAAGTCCAAGAACATCTGGAGGACCGAGGTTGGGGACCACTGTATTAAAGAGTCTGTGTGCTTACATTCAGAAGTACGATGGACTTCATTTAGAGAGCAAAATCTACAGAGCAATATGTATGTCACTCCATGCAAACCAGAAACAGAACCCACAGTTTAGATTAATCCCTGGACACACAAATTCACACAGCACTGGAATGCTAGGCTACTCACTTGGTGTTTTCAGTCTCATACATGGTCCAACCAGTGTTGTAAATGTAAATGATAGCTGGCTTCTTGGTAAAATTCAGTTCCTCAAAAAACCTCTGTGCTTCTGTACCCGTGATTCAAAGAGCCAGGAAATGGCCTGATATTGCTGCACAATATGGTGTCCACACTGCCAGCAGGAAAAAGGGTGTCAAGCTTTACACTGCAAAGGGCAGCCTGAATGTTGACAACACCAATGGCAGCAGTCAAGATCTTCACTACTGTCAGCGGTATTTCTGCATGGAGTGATAGTATTATTTTTTTTAAAAAATCATAACTTGAAACCTTTTTTCCCACATTTCACCAAATTTGGCACAGAGGAAGAATAGACTCTATGCTACATCTGTGGCAGACGTGGTGCTGTTTCAAAGTCCTGTTTCAAAGTTATATTGTTTAGAATTGCTTCATAGAATCTCATGGCACAGTGGTTAAACCACTGTGCTGCAGCCCAAACTGCGCTTACAATCTGCTTCAGTCCTAGCTAGCCAGCTCAAAGTTGACTCGGCCTTCCATCTTTCCAAGGTCAGTAAAACGACTGCCCAGCTTGTTGGTGGTACAATGCGTAGCTTGCATAAGTAACTTGTAAACTGCCCAGACAGTGCTTTGAGTGCTATGGGCCGGTATACAGTGGTGCCTCGCATAACGAGCGCACCATTTAACAATGAATCGGCATAGTGATGCGGATTTTGCAATCGCTTTTGCGATCACATTGTGATGTTTTAATAGGCAAAACATCGCATTGTGATGATCGGTAAGCGTTTCTCTTACCGATCTTCGCATTGCGATGTTTTGGGAACAGCTGATCGGTGGTTCCAAAATGGCCACTGAATGAAGAAAATGGCTGCCCACAGCGTTTTCGCACCCTGCCCTCGCTTACCGAGGCAGCAAAAATGGAGGACGGATGGGGAATCTTCGCTTACCGGTGAGTTTTCCCCCCATAGGAACGCATTAAACTCCGTTTAATGCGTTCCTGTGGGGTTTTCTGCCCCATATAGCGACGTTTCCAGATAGCGACGATATATCCGGAATGGATTATCGTCGCTATGCGGGGCACCACTGTATAAGCAACACACTTTGCTTCGCTTTTGCTTTAAAATGCTGATTTGATCTGCCGCACAATAACATTACTGCACTCTCCTGCAATGATACACAAACAATATAAACAGATTTGCTGGTAAGAATCAGCCAGCTTTGGAGCTTGACTGCACTGCTCCACCAGAGCTGTAGTGCAAACTGAATCCATTTCATCCATTTGCAGGCATGATTTTCACATGTTTTTATCTCTCCAGCAAGCAAGTCAATTTTCATTAGCAGCAGCTAGCTGCAGAGATAAAAAGCCAGAGACGGCACAGCAATCTCAAAGGGCACTTTGCATGAAATTCCACCACTCTTAATTCAAAGAGATTTTCTCATACATTTGAATTTTCCAGCTGTGTAATCAACAAATCTACGTGACTGAGAGTATGCTTTTGGCAGAATGCTTTGGAAAGAAAATAACTGTACAAAACCAACATACATAGTAATCAGGATTCTCAGAGGGCCTCTAACATATTCACTCCATCAGCTGATTTTCAAGCACCCACAGGAGTACAGGATGCTGTCTTTTGCAGCCGGATCACTGATCTGTCTAGCTCAGTAAGCTGACTGTTCTCTATGTTTTTAAGGCAGCAAGTGCTTGCTCTCTCTCTCTTTTCAAGCCAGATTTTTCTCCTAGCCCTATCTGGTGTTCCCTTATGTCTTTCATTTAAGTACTAAACAGTCCTGCCCCTGCTTAGATAGATCATTGTGTTCAGGCATCAGCAGGAGCCTCGTGATGCAGTGGTTAAGCTGCAGTACAGCAGTGAAGACTCTGCTCACAACTTAAGCTCAATCATCGGCTTAGGTTCTGGCTCGAGACTGACAACCTTTTATCCTTCCAAGGTCATTAAACTGAGTACCCAGCTTGGGCGGGGGGGCAAAGTTCTCTATAAACCAGGCACGTCCATACGTACATCTCTGCCTCCCTCCATGCAGCAATAGCGTTCAAACCCCTAGGTTCCAGTCACAATGGAACCCTGTGCACAGGGGGCGCGCGCGGAGTCCCATACATGTGCAGGGATGAAGTTGCGGGTGCAAGAGACAGAGCCCTGCCCAGTGGAGCTGAAAACTAGAGGGTACGTTGGTGGGGGGAGGCAATGTGTAGCCTGCATAATTACACTGTAAACTGTCCAGAGAGAGCTTTAAACACTATGGGATGGTATATAGGCAGTACACTTTGCTTTGCTTTAACAGTTTTAAGAAAAGGGAG